CTGTGGGGACAACAGTGTTGGGAAGATTACTTTGGAAATGTAATTTGTTACAATTACAAGTTACTCTATTTAAAATGTAATAGTAGTGTAACTATTACAATTAATATATGAAAGTAATGTAACTAATTATTCCATATCGCACAGTGTGATCGGTAATGATATTATAAGATTGCTGAAATCACACAGTGTGTACTGGGTATTAATATATGAAAGTAATGTAACTAATTACATTTGATTACTTTTTGATTACTTTTCTAAATTATGAATGAACCATTAACCATTTTGAAATTTTCTAACCTGGCAGTGTTTACCTTACAGCAGTACTAAACACTGACTACTGTCAAACTCCTTTCAATACATGAATTAACATGATTTTAATTGATCAATTTAATAAATATACCAAACATACCATAAATGGGTTAGCAGTGTGGTAAGGCTACATTGCACAGGGGTTAGCTAGTTAGTGAATTTGCAAAACTCAATATGACATAGCATGTCGGGAGTGCTAATATCAGACCTAACATAAATTACCAATAACATTAGCATATTGATGGAGGACGGCACATTTTCTGTCAATGGGATCAGAAGTGCCAGTGTGGCTTTAAAGCGCGGTACACACTTCACGATTCATTGTGGGGTTTACGAATGCTGTCAGTGTTTACGCATGCTGTCGGTGTTTATATTTTGTTTTTTTGTCCTATTCGCCGTATCTTATGATTGAGTTGGTGTTGTCATCGTAGTCTGCATATCTGTCATAGCCAAGATTATTAGATCCGTATCGCACAGTGTGATCGGTAATGATATTATAAGATTGCTGAAATCACACAGTGTGTACTGGGTATTACACTTTAGAAGCATGGTGTGGCACGCTGAAGGTAGGCGTGTCTTCCCTGCCTTGTTTAATATGACTGTTTGCAGTTACAATAAGCTGCACTGACCTCTAGATGTTTCCTTAGGTATAACCAATCAGAAACATAGAATAGTTTCAAACTTTCGGCTGTGGAGGGAAATAGCTAAGGAGGATGTTTTGCATAAGAAAAACACGAAAAGCAATAAAAAATACTGTTATTAAAGATATTAGCAAGGTTTTGCATACAATCTTATGATGTAACTAAAATTGTAATCATGAATATTTCCATAAGTAACTGTAATTTAATTACACTTTTTTTCTCTAGCCCTACTATCTCCCTAGTATTTCCACCCATCTTTTATCTTGGGCGTGGCTGGTCGGGTCGGCGCCGACCCG